CCTGGTGTCCTTTTACTGTTTACTTTATCAATTTGTTTCAAAACCTCCTCTACTAACATCTCAATCTGGGACAGTTTCTCAGATTTGTCACCAAAAAAGAATGACTGAGGTGTGGGAACTTCCCTCACACCTCTGTAGTGAAGAACGATGCAAAGAATTTATTTAGCTTCTCCACAATGGCCTTATTTTCCTTGAGTGCTCCTTTAGCACCTTGATCATTCAGTGGCCGCACTGATTGCTTGGCAGGCTTCCTGCTATTGGAGTACTTAAAAAAAAAATTACTTTTAATTTTTGAATCTTTGGATAGTTGCTCTTCAAATTCTTTTTTGGCCTGCCTAACTGTACGTTTACACTTGATTTGTGAGAATTTATGCTCCTTTTTATTTTCCTCAGTAGGATTTAACTTCCAATTTTTAACGGATGCCTTTTGGCCTCTAACCGCTTCTTTTACTTTGTTGTTTAGCCATGGTAGCACTTTTTTGGTCCTCTTACTATGTTTTTTAATTTTAATTTGGGGTATACATTTAATTTGAGCTTCTATTATGGTGTTTTCACTTTTGTGACTGTACCTTTCAACTTCCATTTAACTAGCTTCCTCATTTCTGTGTAGTTCTCCTTTCTGAAGTTAATTGATACTGTGGTGGGTTTCTTTGGCATTTCCCCCCATATACGAATGTTAAATTTAATTCCACTATAGTTGCTATTACCAAGAGGTTCCGCTATATTCACCTCTTGGACCAGATCCTGTGTGCCACTTAGAACTAAATCAAAAATGGCCTCTCCCCTTGTGGGTTCCAGGACTATCTGCTCCAAGAAGCAGTCATTTATGGTGTCAAGAAGCTTTATTTCTGCATCTCATCTGGAGGTGATATGTACCCAGTCAAAATGGGGATACTTAAAATACCCCATTATTATTGAGTTTTCTATTTTTATAGCCTTTCTTATCTCCCTGAGCATTTCACAATCACTGTCCTGGTCAGGTGGCCGGTAGTATATTCATATTGCTATATTTTTATTATTCAAGTATGGAATTTCTACCCATAGAGATTCCATGGTACAGTTTGATTCACTGAAGATTTTTATTATATTTGACTCTATCCTTTCTTTCACATATAGTGCCACTCCCTAACCAGCACAACCCACTCTGCCATTCCTATATATTTTGTACCGTGGTATTACCATGTCCCATTGATTATCATCATTCCACCAAGTTTCTGTGATGATAATTATATCAATATTCTCATTTAATACAGGGCACTCAAGTTCAGCCATCTTAGTATTTAGACTTCTAGCATTTGTATACAAGCACTTACCAAATTTTAGCTGTCTACCACTATGTGATGTAATTGAATGAAACTCTTATTCACCCACGAAAGCTTATACTCCAATACGTCTGTTAGTCGATAAGGTGCCACAGGACTCTTTGTCGCTTTTTACAGATCCAGACTAACACGGCCACCCCTCTGATACTGTCATTTCACTGTTTCTCTTCAGTTCCTACCTGTACTTTATCAACTTCCATCCTCACCTTCTTAGTAGGAAATAGAGAATCCCCATTAATAAATCCTCCCTTAAGGGATGTCTCTTTCTGAACCATGTGCTCCTCCACAATTGCTGGCTTTCCCCCAGCCCTTAGTTTTAAAACTCCTCTACAATCTTTTTAATTTTACTTGTCAGCAATCTGACAAGTTCCATTTTGGTTTAGGTGGAGTTCATTCTTCCTGTATAAGCTGTTCTTTCCCAAAATGTTCCTAATAAACCTTAACACGTGCTTCCTACACCATTGTCTCATGCATATCAAGAGTTTTAGCTGTGGCAGTTTACAAAAATAGTATCAATGTTTATTAGACTTTTATTGTAAGAATTATTTTTCCTCCTGCCAGTTAATCAGTTACAGCTTTTTATATAACACCCATAAGCATAAAAAAAAATAGATTTCCAACACTCTTCAGCCAGGCCCTCAGTGTGTCACTGAGAAATCCAGAAAATAGTTCACATATCCCTTCCAAACCAGTAACACTCACTCTTCCTTTACCCTGGTGTATAGTAATTACTTTGTAATCTGCCCAATACACAGCCTTATATACATGAGTAAATATCCACCTCTGCTTTGGCATTTGATTAGTAGCACCAGACACTTATTACAAAGCAGAAGTAGGCGACAATTTAAGTATTGTGCGCTAAGTATTTAAATATTATGCAGGGATTCATTGTATTCACTGAGACAGTGCAAAATACTGCACAGTAATTTGTGATTGGAAGAAAGGAAATATCTGCAGCCGCTACAATGACAATACAGTTAAAGCAGAGAAGATTCCACTCCGTGTGTACCTCCACCGTATAACCAGTCTATCTAATTAGCCTTCTCACAGACACTCACTTGGCCAGTATCTCTGGCTTGATCAGAATATTAAAGTAAGTCTTTTTTAGCTGCTCTGTTATCATCTCAAAAACCGCTGGAGTAAAACTGAAGTCAGACAACTGGTCAATGATGAGCTGAAATAGCAGCTGGAAAGAAAATAAAATATTGTTTTCTGAACCATTTTTACCAAATAGAAGAATATGTTTTCCAAAGAGGATTATTTTGAATTACATTTTATATAAAAAGGAGACTCATCTAATAATCCATGGATCAACATGAACTGCACTGTATAGATCTATTAAACATTCTAATAAGGTCCTGTATTAATTAATAAATACATTAATTGGTTAAGAATAAGCTACCAATTGCCAGGACATCTCATGCTCATAGCATTCAGAGCAATGAAGAATTTTGTTAAATCGGTTAAAAGAAAATTAACTATTTCTTATATAGCTAATTTTTAATAATGTAAAATGCATTAACTGTTTGTTTTATTGCAATGTTATAAATTAAATGCATAAAACTCAGGAAATGAAAGTTAAGGTTCTCCTAATGTCAAACTCACCCACACTGCACAAATATTTTGACTGCTGTGTTTGTAATTTAGGTTAATTAATGCAGTATTGGCAACTTCAAGAGATCAAAACTCATGAGATAGACACACAAAAATCATGAGATTGGCTCAAAAAATCCTGAGTTTTTAAAAAAAGATTACATTGTGTTTTTTAGGTCTGTCCTTTGAGTTTTGAATTCCCCCTGCCGTGTGTGCACATGCGCCTGTGTGCATGAATGCATTTTCCCTTCAAGACCTTTTCCACTCCGTTTATCCAGAACGACCTTGTTCAATTCTGGGAGAACACTTCATCCAGTTCTCTGGGATCCAAAAAACTTTATTTGACTCTAGATTTCGTCAGTCAGGTTCCTTTATTTGGCATACAGCAAAGCTACACTGAGTTGATCAGACTCAAGTGTACAGTGTGGGTATAGGGAGTACCAAGCATCCAATGTTACATAGAAAACCTCTTTCTTTATATACATTTACACATTACATTGCATCACACATTTTGGGATTGACTTGGTTACTTTTCAGGAACCAATCCATGTGCAGCATGCTCTGTAATGCATTCTCCACACTGGAACTACACTTTACCTTCTCTCTACATTCCTAACTTATCTTTTCCACGGTTAGTAAATGGTTTCCTGGGTGTTCTCCCTCTCAGATATTCTGTCTTCTTAGCCTACTAACCTAGTTACTGATCTTATTTAGTACATTCTGTTTTCAGCCTAATTATCTGTTTACCTTCCTCACTCTATCCTCCAAGAAATGAGGCCTTCCTTCACATATTAATTACTCATGACAGGCCAGACCTCAGCTACAGTGAGTGTAAGAGAGAGAATTAGCGTTGCCCACTCTTGCAAATGTATAGGGTAAGGTGATTTTGGCCCCTGCTGCAGGAGCTCTCACCCCACGTCCGCCCATCCCTTGCCCAGCAATTAATCTTTTCCCCCATCTCCCCATTAGTTCTGTCCCCACCAAGTTCAGCCCCCACATCAGTCCCCAGCCTCCTCAGTTCAGCCGCCACAACCCATTGCCCACCACCACTTTTGCTCCTCCTAGGGTTTTCACCCTCCTCTCCCAGGCCTGGGGTAGAGGGGGGGGAGCTGTAGCAGGGTTCCGTCTTCCCCTTTGCAGACTAAGGGGGGCAAGCTCCAGGGTTCTTTACCCCCTTCTGCCCTTCCCAGGCCGGGTGCAGTGGCGGGGGAGGGAAAGAGGGGGAAGGAGGAGCAAAGGTGCTGTCCTGTCCATTTTTCTCACAGAAGGGGAGCAAGGGGAGGAGCCAGAGCTGCCCTGAGCTGCTGGGCTCTTTGCTCCCTTCTTCTCCTCCCCTCCGGTGAGAATGGCAGGCAGAGTGGACCAGAAAGGAGGGAGCAGAACTGCACTGAGCTGCTAGACTCTTTGCTCCCTCCTCCATTCCTGTGAGAATGGCAAGTGGAGGGAAGAGATTCTGTCAGCTTTTGGCAGGCTGAACTTCATGAGGGGGCTGGAGGTTATCACAAGACAAACTCTAGCATCTTGTGAAATCCCATCATGCACAAAAAAAAAAATCATGGGAACTGGAACTACTGTTAACATTACCAAGAAAATATTTTTTTCAATATGTAAGGATCCTGTCATAAGCAGCTGCATTTGCAACTGATCTTCTACATCACCGGTTGGTGGAGTTCATCCTATATCAAAGATTCTTCATGTGGCTAGGGAACCCCGTCATACTGAGCAAATCAGCAGCAGTCACAGGCACCAGCAGGTGCAACAGAAGAGCAGTTGAGAATACACCTGTTGACAACAGGAGCTATACTTAGCCGGGCAAGGGCAGCAGCAGCCAGCAACTGATATGTCCATCAAGGCTGTTGCCCATGCAGCCTACCAGGCATTGCCTGTTGCCCACCAGCCAATGCATCACCATGCTCCTCCCTTGACCCAGATCCACTCCTCTCCTGATGGCAGCTCACCCTTCTTGCTCTCTTCTATGTTGTGTTCTTTGCCTCCCACTCCAACTTCACATGACATGGGGTATCTATACCTCCCCACAGATCCCCCTCACCATTTGCCTTGGTCTTTAGGACACTCCTACAATCAGAGGGGAACTTGCATCTTGTCCATCTTTGTCTGAAGGGGCTAAGCAGAAACCACAGCTGTTTGAGGAGTGCACCAACTGTGCTCCTACTGCAGTCCCTCTAGTGGAGACGCCCCTTCTAATTTTCTCCCCCAAATCTCCATTGCCTTCAGACCTTATCACTGGGCACATACCTTTAACAAAAACCTCATCCCAAAAGATATTAATACGATTACATTTACACACACATCACAAAAAGACATGGTCAGTATTTACAAAAAGCTATGAAAACTTAAATTATAATTAAGGTTGTTTATAACTCCACATATCCAGTGCTTTAACCTGAAGAAAATTAGAAGTTAAAGTTCTTCACATCTGCATACTTAGCTATTTGAAAAACACAAAGTATATATCTTTTCAATAAGAGTTCTAAGGCATTACATAATGGGATATAATCACATATCTATTAAATAAACAAACATTCAAATATTTTTAAGGAAAGCTGAGTGTGTGTGTGCGTGCAAATGCATACAATAAAGAAGGTAGAGGTTTAATGTCTACATCATATTTTCTGTTATTTGGTATGGTATATAAATATTAAACAACTGTGAGGCACCTTTCAAAACGCCAACTTTCCTTACAAAACATTTAAAATACTTCTGCCTCTTTATTGTGTTCACATGCTCAGCTGCCCTTCTCCTGTCTCAAGCTCCATATATCTCAGAGAGCAAAGATGGCAATTTCCTGATTCATTGTTAGTTTGCTATTACATGACAAAGATATCCTAATCACTCCATGCAATTAAAAAATAATCTTTTTTAAAATTTTGGTTAAGATAAAATAAAGTATGTCAGATTTTGTTACTTTCAGAATCTTTTAATTGGATTTTCATGCCCCAATACACCAAAGAGACTAGTTCTTTCTCCCTTCCTACTCACTCATTATCAATCTTTGTCACAATGTCTCCCTGCTAACCTGCAAATCTGCACTCACTGATCCTGCTGGTTTCTGAGCGACTCAGCAAGAAGTCCATGAGATAACTGAACGCATCAATAAATAGTTGCAAAACCATTAATAGATTAATTGAAATTAAGAGACCAATATTTCAGGCCGTTGAGTTGTTTAGAAAGTGACATTCAGCAAAAGGCTAGTTGGTCTGTAGTAAGGAGGACATAGCAATAGTACTTACAGGTAGTTTATGATTGAATCCTTTCACTCGAATGACCAAACCATGCTCTCCAGATACCAGTTTATATTCCAACTGAGCAACATCAGCTTCATATGCCGGTTCAGCAAGGTTGTGAGAAAGGATATTTACAAAAGTCTCAAAAAGTACCACACTGTATGAATGAGGAAAGTGAGGGTGGGAATCAATAAGGGAGAGTGAAAAGAAACAGCCTTAAAGTCAATAGGTTTGAGAGTACACAGATAAAAAAAGTGTCCAATGGAAATAAACTATTTCACTGGGCAGCTAAAAACATCTAAAATTTAGAATGTAAAACACAGTACAAAAACATTTATTTTTCTACAGAGATTTTTTTCCCCTGGGTAAAGCAAAAACCTGAAACACAGGGTTCTGTATTTCTCTTTACTCAGCAAGCACACAAAACTACTTAGTAGTTTTTTTGGGATTAAATTTAAAATCTTTTTAGATCAAAAGAAAAACTTATTCAAATTACAAAGTATTTCAGGATAGTATAACAATCAACCTGACTACTGCAGGATATGTGGGTTAAAACCTAACTGGTATAAATAATGGATTTTTTTAGGCAACATGACAGCTTTCAGTAAAGTTTGTTTGTTGCATATTGGGGTGTTAATATAGAAAATTATGTGTTAATACTATTTATGTAAAGGCATTTGGGAGACTCACAGTTTTATTTAGCATTGGAAGTGCTATAATGGAGAATTAATATGTACAGAATCATAAACTCCAGAGGAGAAGAATAAAAATGTAGGTTTAGAAAACATGACCTACAAGGAAAGGTTGAAAGAATTGGGCATGTTTAGTTCAGAGAAGAAAAGGATGAAGAAGACATGATAACAGATTTCAAATATGTAAAAGGTTGTTATAAAGATGACAGTGATCAATTGTTTTTCATGTCCACCGAGAGTAGGACAAATACTAATTGGCTTAATTTTCAGCAAGGAAGATTTAGGCTGGATATTAGGAAAAGCATTGTCACCATAAGAATAGTTAAGTCCTGGAATAAATTACCAAGGGAGGTTGTGGAATTCCCATCATTGGAGGGTTTATGAACAGATTAGACAAACACCTGTCAGGTATGATCTAGGTATACTTAATCCAGCCTCAGCACCAGGGATGGACAAGATGACCTCTTGAGGTCCCTTCCAGCCCTACATTTCTGTGATTTCTATGATCTTGAGGTTTGTTTCATTCAAAGGAAGATCTATGGGTTGTTGTTTTTTTCACCTGCAGAGGAATGTTAACTGATAATACTATACTACAATTATAATTATATCTTGTTCTGTAAGACAGATAAGATAAATCTTTACCTCTTTGCAGACTGCTGTATCAGTGGGGAGATCAGATGGAAACGTATGTAAGCTGAAATTTGAAAAAGGTTGACATGAGCAACTGTAGAAACAATGGCAGCTTCAAACATGTAAGTATTTTTTTCTCCAAACCATTTCTTATCCCCAGTTAATTTTCTATGAACTACATATAAATGGTTATTCAGAGATGGTATTTTTATCTGTATTAAGTTATCACCATAGAAATTTTAGCCCTCCAACACTTACTCAATATAATCTTTTTAACTGAAGATTTAAAGAAAAGCATAAAGTTGTACTTCACCTTGCAAAACATTGCTTTATATTACAGGATACTTAAGGAGCACACATTTTTGGTGACAACAGCTATAGTACTTATACAGGATAAAAGTACTCAGGGCAAGTACCATATCTTTCTATGTTTGCTTACATAAATTAATTTTACACTTTTCTTTCTAAAACAACCTAAAGAAGCTGTACAACAACAAAAAACCTATAATTATACATACCCTATTTTTAAAAGTTTCTCACTGAAAATTAAAATGTCATGTTTCTGAGCAGAACAGCAAAAATGGAAACAGTTTTCATGTTTATTGGCTCTCAAAGATTCCAGATCACATTTCCTCAGTTTACAGCGGGACAAGAGAAGTTGGTTTGGTTTTGGTTTTTAAAACTACTAGGCCTCCAAACTCAAGGTTAGTTCTTTCCCCTTCAGGCACTGTCACCCGTAAGATGCTTTTGGTGCCAAATTCTGCCCCCAGTTACTCCATTAGAAGAAGCAACATCTGTCAAACTATTATTAAACAGTGGTATCAGAAATACTGCAGATTCTCCCTGTACTAATAAGAAAAAACAGTAGCATCAGTTATAATGTCACTGTATTAGAGGTACATTATTTTTAACAATCTATACACCTCTACCCTGATATAATATGAATTCGGATATAACGCAGTAAAGCAGTGCTCCGGGGGAGTGGGGGGTGGGACTGCGCACTCCGGCTGGTCAAAGCAAGTTCGATATAACGCGGTAAGATTTTTTGGCTCCCGGGGACAGCGTTACATAGGGGTAGAGGTGTACTTCTATAACACTTACCATTTAGCATTCTCAAATCTCTTTACAAACATTAATGGGCTACACCTCACAACAATCCTGTGAGGAAGGTAAGTGTTATCTACATTTTATATCTGGTGAAATAAGACCCAAACAGTCTTATAGCTCCACAGATGGAGCGGGACTGTCGAATGGGACACCTTCCAGGACCTTCTCGCGATTGGTCCACCACTGCAGCGAGGTGAGAACCGTCGGGAAAATGGTGACGATCTTTTTCAGGTGGTCCCTGGATTGGGAATAGGTCGACGCCAGCCATTGCTGCAGGGGCTGCATGCGGAGCCTGGCATGGCGGACCACATATATGCAAGCTGCCATATGGTCTAGCAGGCGTAGGAACACCCTGGCCGTTGTCAGGGGAAATGCGGACACTTCTGCGATGAGGTCCGTCAGGGCCTGAAACCTAACGGCAGGAACGCTCTCAC